CTCTCTCTCTCTCTCTCTCTCTCTCTCTCTCTTTCTCTCTTGTTAACACGACTGGCGGCGTACACTTGCCGTAAATGACACTTGTGAAATCAACGCACACATTTTCACCGCTTCGAGCGAGCAACTGTAGAAAAGAGGGTCGTTGACAGCTAACGCGTGTGATAAATGTACGACTGCATCCTTCGGTGTTTCCTTTCCCGCCCGCGAGTTTTTTTAAAAAGGGACACTCCATTTTTCGCGTTTGCCCCGATTTATACACTTGTCACGCGTGAATATCAGATTCTCGCGTGCCCGATTTCGCGCGTCGATTCTCCGCGGCTCGTGGCTCGTTAATTTGGCGAGGAACACTGGAAATCGTCGCAAAGAATCACGAGAGGCAGATATGAGGTCGACCGGTCGTCACACGATCTAAGAATATCGCGTGTGGATCGTTGAACTTCGCTTCCTTTCTTTCCACGTGTCCACCGGCCGCAGAGAGAAATAAATCAGCAACTTTCACCGAACGCCCGTCGACAACAGTAACTCGTAAAACATGTTGGGAGACACGACGTCTGACGAAGAGGGATCGCAGGAGGATTTGCCGCGATATGACATTGACAATCTGGAAATCATCAAAACCATAGGTAAGCCCACGAGTCCATTGATCTCGGTACCAACTCATATCCGTTTCATTTAAAAACTTTCTACTCGTCTGTATGTCGATACTTGAGTAATATCCTGTTCAGCTACTATATATAGAAATTCGTTGAACTCGTAACTTTTCCTCCAGCTACGAGACTAACAGATCAAATTGATAGCATGTACTGTCGGATTAATCGGTAGTTGTTTAGAGACAGATTTGTTAAAATCATTTGGGAACGCGAGTGTTAGTCAATGTTACGCACTGCTGACTCTCCGCGAGAAAATATCAGAGAGGAGGAGAACTACCCTCGGAGCGAGGAAGTGGGCCACTGAAGAGTGAGAGGCCACCGAGTGTATATTTAACTGCTCGTTAAGTTCAAGTTACACGGGATCGATGAAATGCAGGTGTTTCGTAGCTGATTTTTCACTCTTTCGTTTCTTGTACAACTGTTCTTCGAACGATTAAGATTGTCAGGCCCCGGGAAGGGGACTTGAAGAGACGTCACATTGCACGATGGAACAGCATGGACATTCGTAAACGTAATGTCAGGTTATCCTAACTTTCGTGTGAAATTTGAATAATAAACAGAATGTCCGAGTTTCAAATCTAAATGACCACGATAGTAGAAACGACGACTATCGTATCCTATTTTCTTCGATCACTGGTTGGATTATACAGGTAAAGCAGCGGCTGCACGCCTGTAAACGAAGATCGATCAGAACAGATGTGCAAGCTGTTTCTTTAGAGACGTAGAACAAGTTTTGGACGCACACCAAAATCCTCTCTCGAGTGTCTGTACGCTCGAAAAAAAAAAAAAAAAAAAAAATAACGTGTCGAGGAGAAGCGTCTGGCGCGCGTAATTCGAGCGAAGTGGCCACTCGTGTGATGAATGAACGACGTTACCTGAAATATTAAGCTTTTCCGATCTGATCTATTTTCACTCGGCGACTTCCTCTTCACCCGAGCTGATCCGAACATTCGTCACATAAATTTTCCACATGTTAAAATTAATTAAGTAATTGGAAAATCATGCTACAGGCTACGATCGTACCAGAATTTCGCAGCTGATCGATAGAAACAGGCTACTTCTCGCTGTTCATTTTTTTTTTTTTTTTTGTGCCGTGAAAAGAGAGTCGGAGGCGATCGATTGCGCAAATATCGCGATATTTAAAGCGCCGTTTCCGTCAAAGACTGCTCGTCGTTCTATCATTGACACCTGTTCTTAACTGTCGCTGGCAGTCACCGCGATCGTTTCACGCAGCGCAGAACACGGTTTCACCCCTTATTTGCGCTGTCTGCCAATTTTGCTGCATTTATAATAACAACTCTCCGTACGTAAAACGTTCGTCCGTGATGTGAACATCTCGGATTCATGCAATTTGCCGGTTAATTTCGGCACGCACCCGCGACTCAGCGTGGCGGCCATCGTTGTTCCGTTAATTGGTCACGGTACGTTGAGCAGACCAGCTTTAGTCACCTGCATTCGTGAGAAAGTGCATTAAACAGACCGTGGACGCGGATTATGCGACTAGAGAGAGCGTTGATAATTACCCACTGCCTCATACAATCAATAATACGTGTACCATTTTTTATGCTGTTACTTCGAATAAAAGACGAATGAATAATTGATAATAACTCAACGCTTAACGTGTGTTTCGATCGTTATTTACATCGATAACCTCGACTATTAAAAAAGAAATACTTTGTTACACGTGGAAACAAGTTAAGGTGTTCCTTTGATCTCAGGTACCGGCACCTTTGGCAGAGTGGTACTATGCAGGCATCAAGGTACTCCTCTAGCCTTAAAAATCCTCTCAATGGTAGACGTGATCAGATTGAAGCAAGTGGAACACGTACGGAACGAGATCACCGTGTTGAAAGAGGTCAAGCATCCCTTCATCGTGAACATGTAAGTCGAATTTGCTTTCTCCTTTCCTTTCTCCTGTTTGATCGCTGACGAACTGTAACATTGTTACGATCGAAAATTGTCGCTACCAATGCGAGAAAGCATCCTTGGTACGATCAAGAAAATTGAACGAGGAAGACCCTGAAAAAGAAAGCATTATACTTAATGTATAATAATTCTCGTCCA